CGACGCGGGGCTCGAACTCATGGACCGCGAGATCGTGACCTGAGCTGAAGTCGGATGCTTAACCGACTGAGCCACCCAGGCGCCCCAGCTTTAGCTTCATTTTACTTTAACATGCTGGTAGACCCTTTCACCCCCTACCTCCACCCCGTTCTATACTTTCTAGACCTCTCTGGCCTATGTTGCTACCTCTTCAAATACTGTACTGGAGATAACCTCCAGAGAAAAACCCTTTAGTCTTGTTGCTGAAGGATTTTTTAAAAAAATTATTTAATTCTGTCCTATTTACCAATACTATTATAACTCTTGATTGGAAGATCTTAATAAAGAAAGGTCTCCTGTCTGCAGTCTTTTATTTTGAAAATTTGAGTCTATCGAAAATTAGGGAAAATTGTATAATAAACATCCTATATCTTTTGTCTATACTCACCATTTGCTAAAAACTTTTCTGCATTTGTTTTTATCTTTCCTTCTGTATACAAATGTATTTGTTTTTTGGGGCACCATTTGAAAGTTTTATGTATCATGACATTTCATCCCTAAATACTTGTCACAGGATTTTTTTTTACACTTTTTTTTTCTTGTACATTTCTGCTGTACTAGAATATGTAAGTTCTCATGATGAACGATGCCAGAAGATATACTTTTTGTAGAGTCTCATTCTTCCAAATAAAGTTTTCCCCTAACTTTATATTACATTGACTTTTTTGTTTTGTTTTTTTTAATAGCATTTTCTAATCACCTTCTGCTACCACCCACAACCACTATTCTCACTACTCCATTCTGATTTTTTTCATTTTTTTCACTTTTAAACATTATGGTAAAATGTATATAGCATAAAACTTGCCGTTTTAATAATTTTAAAGTATACTGTTCAGCGGCATTAATGCATAGTGTCGTACAACCATCACTATTAACTTTCTAAAACTTGCATCACTCTAAGCAAGAAACTGTAACCATTAAGCAAGAGCTTGCTGTTTCCCCATTTCACTGGCCCTTGGTAGTCTCTAATCTACTTTCTGTCTTTATGATTTTGTCTATTCTAGGTAGTTCACATTAGTGGATCCATACAATATTTGTCCCTTTCTTTGTCTGGCTTATTTCACCTTGCATAATGTCTTTAAATTCATCCATGTTTTAGCATGTATCAGAACATCATCCTTTATGGCTAAATAATATTCCATTGCATGTATATACCACATTTTGTCAATCTCTTCATCTATTGATGGACACTTGGATTGTTTCCACCTTTTGGCTGTTGTGAATATTGGTGTACAAGTATCTCTGAGTCTCTTTTCAATTTGGGGGGTATATACATACCTAGGAGTGGAATTCCTGGGTCATGTGGTAATTTTATATTTAGCTTTTTGAGGAATTGCTAAACTACTTTCTATAGTGGCTGACCATTTTATATTTCTACCAGCAGTGTATGAGGATTCCAGTTTCTCCATATGCTCACCCATGCTTATTTTGTTTCTTTAAAAAAATGTTTTTTATTGAATTATTATTAACATACAGTGTTATGTTAGTTTCAGGTGTACAATATAAATTGTTTTGTTTCTTAAATTACACATATGAGTGAAGTCATACAGTATTTGTCTTTTTCTGTCTGACTTATTTCAATTAGCATTATATGCTCTGGCTCCATCCATGTCATTGCAGATGGCAATATTTCATTCTTTTTTATGGCCGAGTAATTTTCCCTTATGTATTTATGTACCTCTTCTTCTTCATCCATTCATCTACCACTGGACATTTGAGTTGCTTTCATGTCTTGGCTGTTGTAAATAATGCTTCAGTAAACATAGATGGGCATATATCTTTTCAAATTAGTGTTTTTTGTTTTCTTTGGGTAAATACCCAGTAATAGAATTACTGGATTATATGGTAATTCTATTTTTAATGTTTTGAGGAACCTCCATACTGTTTTCCACAGTGACTGTGCCAATTTGCGTTCCCACCAACAGTATACGAGGGTTCCTTTTTTCCCACATCCTCGCCAACACTTGTCATTTCTTATTTTGATTTTAGTTATTCTGACAGGTGTAAGGTGATATCTCATAGTTTTGATTTGGATTTCCCTGATGATGAGTGATGGTGAGCATCTTTTCACATATCTGTTGGCTATCTGTTATGTCTTCTTTGGAAAACTGTCTACAAAGGTCCTCTGCCCATTTTTAGTTGTATTATTTGTTTTTTTGGTGTTGAGTTGTGTAAGTTCTTTATGTATTTTGTATATTCACCCCTTATCAGTTATATCATTTGCAGATCACTTCTCCCATCCAGTAGGTTGCCTTTTTGTTTTGTTGGTTGATTCCCTCACTGTGCAGGAGCTTTTTATCTTGATATAGTCCCCAAATACTTGCTTTTGTTTCCCTTGCCAGAGAAGACATATCTAGCAAAAAAAATTTTTTTAACATTTTGTTTTTTGAGAGACAGAGACAGAGTGCGAGCAGGGTAGAGGCAGAGAGAGAAGGAGACACAGAATCCAAAACAGGCTCCAGGCTCTGAGCTGTCAGCAGCCCGATGCGGGGCTCAAACCCACGGATGTGAGATTATGACTTCAGCCAAAGTCAGATGCTCAACCGAATGAGCCAACCAGGCACCCGTAGAAAACTGTTTCTATAGCCAATGTCAAAGAAATTACTTCTTATGTTTTCTTGTAGGAATTTTATGATTTTAGGTCTCACATTTAGGTCTTTAATCCATGTTGAATTTATTTTTGTGTCTGATCTAAGAAAGTGGTCCAGTTTCATTTTTTTGCTTGAAGCTGTCCGGTTTTCCCAGCACCATTTGTTGAAGAAACTTTTTTCCTATTATGTATTCTTGCCTCCTTTGTCATGGATTAATTGACCATATAAGCACAGGTTTATTTCTGGAGTGTCTATTCTGTTCCACTGAGCCATATGTTTATTTTTGTGCCAGTATCATATTGTTTTTCCCTTTCTTTGATTATAGCCATCCTGAAGTGATATCTCATTGTGATGTTGGGTATCTTTTCTTGTGTTTATTATCCATTTGCATATCTTATTTGGGGAGATGTCTATTCAAGTCCTTTGCTCATTTAAAAAATTGGGTTGTTATCCTTTTGTTGTTTAAGGGCTCTTTATATGTTTTTGAAATTAAACCCTTGTCGGATACATGATTTGCAAATATTGTCTTCCATCCTGCCTGTTATTTTCACTTTCTGGATAATAGCCTTTGATACCCAAAAGTTTTAAATTTTGATGAAGTCCAATGTATCTTTTTTATTTTGCTTTTGCTTTTTCTGATCTCTTAGTGACAAAACCATCAGCAAATTTATCAATTGTGGTTAGATGATTGTTTCCCTGGTCACATATTAGGGCTTGAGTTGCTTTTTAGTTCGAAATCAGCAAAAAATAACAATATTAGTTGCCACTTACTGAGTACCTCATATGTACAGGCGCCTTTGGGAAACTTGAAAAAATAATCCTAAGGAAAAGTCCTAATTTCATTCTTTCTAGGTAGATTCTATTGAAACCCCTTAATCTCCCAAAGACATATAAACTTCCCTGTCATTCTGGAAGAAATTTAACTTGGAACTATTGTTATTATCTCTACTGCACTAATCAGTTTCCTGGCATCTGCCCTGGTCCTAGGCTCCCCCACTCATACACACATTTCAGCCTCTGGAGAATCCAGGTTTTGTGTTTCTGCATTTCATTGAATTTCTTTTTTTTTTTTTATTTTTTATTTTTCAACGTTTGTTTATTTTTGGGACAGAGAGAGACAGAGCATGAATGGGGGAGGGTCAGAGAGAGAGGGAGACACAGATTCGGAAACAGGCTCCAGGCTCCGAGCCATCAGCCCAGAGCCCGACGCGGGGCTCGAACTCACAGACCTCAAGATCGTGACCTGGCTGAAGTCAGACGCTTAACCGACTGCGCCACCCAGGCGCCCCTGCATTTCATTGAATTTCTTACTTACTTACCTAGTTTGTTTTACCTGACCTGCCTAGTCCACAGTCATCTTTACAAACTGCTTACAAAGGGAATACAGTTTTGAACCAGACTTCAAATGTGTTTTATTGCACTAGAAGGTGAGAGTTGCCCTCACATTTATAACTCTGAAATTCCTTTAGGAAGGTCTGTATATGGTGCTATTGATTTACACAATTAGGTTTTTCCTATTTGTGGTATGAGAGCTTTCTCTCTAGTATATTTTCTCTCTGATGACTCAGTAATGTTTCATTATCCCCCCTCTCAAACTAGGAAAATACAAATATTAAGTGTTCTATCAATGTTTAATACAGTTTATTCTGATTTTTTCCCCTGTAGCGGATCTAAAGAGAACAATTGCTGTCCTCTTAGATGACATTTTACAACGCTTGGTAAAGCTGGAGAACAAAGTGGACTATATTGTTGTGAACGGCTCGGCAACCAACACTACCAATGGCACAAGTGGAAACCTGGTGCCGGTAACCACAAATAAAAGGATCAATGCATCGGGCAGCATTAGATAGCAGTTGAAGATCACCTTGTGCTGCTACATCCACCGTGGATCATATCCTATGGCAGAAAGCTTTTAAGTTGCTGGCTAGGATAGAATAATACTGTACAATAAAAGCCCTGCGCATTTCTGAGGAATATGCTGGATTCACAGAGCTCTAATTCTGTATATAAATTTTAAAAGTTATTAGTTTGCTTTCAGGCAAGTCTCTTCAATGCTGTACTACTATATTCTTAAAGGGAATTTGGTAACATGGTTGATGTAGTAAGCAGGTAGGTGATCTTTGTATAAATCTTTTGTGTTTGGGATGGAGGTGAAACAAAAACACTGAAAGACATGGGTTCATTTCTATAAAATATTTATTTAAATATGTAACATGTTTTTTAGAGAATATTGTTATTGAATCATTTTGTCATTTGTTCTCAATAGGTTTAACTGTTAGACTAATACTATTAGAAAATGTGCTTACTTCCAGTACTATATTTTGTTACTCAGATTATGAGCAGAGAAAGGAAGTATAATGTTGAAAATAATGTTTTGAAATCATGACCCAAAGAATGTCTTCATTTGCACTAGCCTTCAGAATAACTGGAGGTTAATTATTGTATATTTTGAAAAATTACATTTGTAAGGTTATAATCTTGTGATGGTTAGTAGCCACTGTCCATAACCTATTCTAAACATTGAGAAAAATAATGTAAAAATAGGAATCTCTAATCTCATAAATAACATTTTCTTATATATACCTTGAAGAATAAAAGATATTTTTATGATGAGATTAAAATTAAGTAAAGTATTCATGATTTTTCACATACATGAATATTAATTTAAAAGTTTAACCTTTTGAGTGTCTGTGCTATTGAAAGCACATTATTTCCGTATTTGGGTAAGTTTTGCTTTTGTTATGTTGGCAGTGGAAGGGGAGACTGAGATATTTGTGAGACTGGGATGCTTAAGGTCTTTAGCCAGGTGTGTGTACTAAAGGTATTTTGTGCTGCATTAAATTGCTTGGAAAATGTTAACATTATGTAAGAGTATCTGGCTTCATGAAATTGTGGATTTGTGTAAAAGATATATTAGGTATTCATTTTATATAATGACCACTTAAAAACAAGAGCATTTAATTTAAGCTATGAAGATTGACTCTCTTTTCAGGAAAACAGCTATTGTATATATATAGCACAAGAGATCCTAATCTTGGATAATTCTAGTATAGAGGAACGTACAACTTTATTTAAATTTCCCTTGTAGCAAATTTAATTGCCATATGGTGCCCTGTATTTCATAGTATTTATTCTCTATAATAACTGCCTAAGTGCAGCTAGCTTTTAGATTTAGGCTATATTGAATTTAGTTTTGGATATTGTATTGTTTATTATTATAATATGTTACCACACATAGTAGCAATAATTATAATGCTTTATTAAAATAAGTATGAGAAAATATTGTTTCATGAAAGGTAGCTTTCTAAACTCTTTTCCCTATACTCTATGTGAAGAAATTAATTACATACCGTTGCCAGTTGAAGTTTGGAATAATTGTTCAGTCTTATTAGATGTAGACATTTTTGTTTTTGTTTTCAGGGATGAAATAAAATATATTATTTGTACTTACAAGGTGTGATAAGTTTTTTTCTTTAATGGTGGTTGTGCATTTAAAAAGTGGTAAGTGATTGAAAGGAATCTTACATAACTGGGGGTTTTGTTTTATCAAAAGAAAACAGTGGAAAATTGCTTTGTTCATGGTAGGAGAGTTTGAGTTCAGGATTTGATGGGAGTAAGTCTGAGGATTATGATCAGAGGTGGTTCCTAGGTTTGTACCCTCAAGTTGAAGTTTACTATTGAGTTTTTAAAGGTCATACTGTAGTATTTATATCTTCAATTAATCTTAATTAATCAGGACGTTAACACAAAGGGTGTCACGAAACATATTTAAACTTTCATATTTATTTCAGAGTAATTTGGGGTTATTTCAGAATATCTTTAAGCAGTATACTGGCAAAAAAGTAATTTAAACATTATTTTACATAGTTGATGATAACTTGGGTCTCATTTGTCTTCAAGAAATACTTAGGACCTTGACTGTGGAGTTAGGTAGACTATAGAGGCTCAGGTCTGCCTTTTTAGTGACACCATGTTCTTTATTTTAAATGTATAGAATCTGCCTCATCTTATTTAATTCTGTCTCAGAAGACTAAAGTGTTAACAGCGTACATAAGAACCTCTGACTTGTACATTTGGTTTAATTGCAAACACTGTTCTGTTTTTAACCACTTTGTGCTGAATAGCTATCGATGTAGTTAAATTGTTATCCTTTTTTTTTTTTTTAGAGAAATGTTTACCTGAAAAGAGGACATGATATAATGAAAGAGAATGAAAGAGAATGAATGAATGAATGAATGAGTTAATTGAAACTAATTTTTAAATAATTGAAAGCCCAGAATGATTCTTAAGTTTTGGTTGGGGGCATGGTAGAGTCATCTTTTGAGAGAGCTCAAGAGCTAGAGAGGAGAGAAAGAAAATATGAAAATAAGAATAAATATAGAAAAACAAAATGGGAGGACAAATCTGAAATTTTTCTACCTACAGACAACTGCTATTGACATTTTAGCATATAAATGTGAGTCTGATCTCCCCTGCCCACACTCTGTATTGTTTCTACTTAAAATAAAATCCAGTGTTCTTGCTGTGGCCTCACAAGCCCTAATTTGTTCCTATCTGCCTCCTCACTTCATCTTTAACTACCCTTTTCCTTCTTAATTCCTCTTCAACCATATTGACTTTCTCTTCCTGGGACTTCCTCTTCCATGCTTTTGCCTCAGCGACTTCAATGTGATATTCCTCTATTCCCAGATATCTTCATGCTTCCCCTCCCATCCCCTTCCACAATATTCTCAGGTGTTGGCTCAAATGTGTCTCTGACCACCTACCTAATTAACATGCCTCTAGCACTCTTTTTTCCCTTTTTACTTTTTGTCATAATTCTGATATACCTAACATTAAATTGTATATTAATGTATTGTGTTTTTTTCTGTTGCTTCTTAGAATCTAGGCTCTGTGAAGGCAAGGACTTCATTCTGTTCACTGATATAATCTGGGCACATGCGACTGTGTCTGACACATAATAGGTGCTTGATAAATATTTGTTAAAACTAGTTACTAAGCCATTCTATGCCTTTTGCTTTGTGTATCGATACCTTTATTTATATTTTTAAAGATTATACCATACATTGTATTCTTTTTGTATAATGTATGAACTTCTTTCCAAGTCAGTAAGTATATAACTTTCATGGCTATTCTACTTTGTGGCTATATCACCATTGATACATCTTTCAGTCAATTATTAGACATTTTGTTTGCAGATAAAAGATTTAGACGTAGGTATGGGACAAGTTTAAAGCTTGTCCTCTTTGCATTACTCCATGCTGTCATTATTTTGGATGGTATTGGGTAACCCAGTAAAGTGTGATTAGCAATTTGGGGGAGACAAAGTGGTGAAATATCTCCATTTGCATAGAATTACAATGACAAAAGCCTAAAATGGGTGACCATCCTCAGACCTTGTTTTATGTTATAAACAAGAGGTAGAAGCATTTTGCAGGGTAGGAGAAAGACTGGGAATAAAATGTAGAATGGCTAATCCATTAATTGAGTTATAGAGTGGGTTAGTGGTCAGAGTTGTGCTTAATCAGATCAAATCTGTCATTTTGCACCTTTTGGCTTAAAATGGATCAATAATATTAGTCTGTGTTTAAGTAAGGGAGTTAGGCTCTAAAGATTTTTTTTATTATTATTTATGTATGTATGTATGTATGTATGTAATTTATTGTCAAATTGGTTTCATACAACACCCAGTGCTCATCTCAACAGGTGCCCTCCTCAATGCCCATCACCCACTTTCCCCCTCCGATTTTTTTTTAATGTCTTTTTCGATTTCACCAATGTCAGTATTTTTCAAACATATTTCCAGAATGAATTTAGGTCCTCCTTTGAATCCTTAGGTCAAGGATAACTTCACATTGCTTCTAATTGTTGATTAGCAGCATCATTTATTTGAATAAATCATTTTTCATTTAACTTTCTCAGGTGATTAATTCATCCACCCACCCACCCTTTCTTTAATGTTTACCAATTTTTCACTCAAAGAAACAAACTGGTTTGGAGGAGTCTTTTTAGGTGAGAGGGTGTCATGGTAGATATGGTATCAAGGCCCAAGGGAACAAAACATTTTGAGCCGCTGGTGTTTGGGAATTTCCGCATAGCATTAGGTTATCTTCAGTTTTGAGATAAATATGGTTTTTTTTATTTGCTTACTTGTTTCTCGTCTTCATGAGTTTGAAAAGGAGAGAAAAAATTCCCTTTTATTCTTTTTCTTTGAGCCTGAATTGGGAGTTTCATTTCAAAAGCCTCGAGTGGATGATTGAAGCAGGAAGACACAAAAAAAGGACCTCTGCTAGGTAAGGGCCACTGGCCTGACTCCTGGCAGAATCTCTACACATCCTATATTAAAACTATTCAAAACTGGAATGTGCTCCTGGGGGAAAGATTTAGAGCAGGAAGGATTTGGAGAATTTGTTTTTAATCATGCCTCTCATTCAGTGGGATCTCTGTGGTAATAACAGTTATTGAGCATCTACAAAGGGCTGTGCCCTGTGCTGTGCTCTTCATGTACAGTATCTTGTTTAATCTCCAAAACAACTTTATGAGGTTCTATTACCCCCATTCTCTAAATAAGGGACTCTGGTGCAGAAAAACTGGATGGGGGAGCTCTGGTCACAGGTCTTACAGACCATACAGTAGAGACTCAAACCCAGAAAGGTCTATCTCCAGAGTTTGTACTCTTAGCACCATGTCTTACCGCCTATTCTACTAATCTTGGCTTAAGTATAGTCCATGTTGTTCCTAGGACATAGGAATTTCTCTCCTTTGATCCAAAAGAAAGATCTGCTTCTCTCTTCACTCTTTACTCTGCTCTTAAAGGCCTGGGTCAGCAGCAAGCACGGAGTCTGCAGGG